TCCCCCGTCGCCACCGCAGCAGCCGCAGGCGTCAACAATCCGCCGCCGGAAGCGGAAACCCCGCCCCTCGGAGCGCGTCGCGGGGCGGGGCCTGGAGTCCCGGGCTGGCCGGCCGCGGGGCCGGGGCGCTGGCGGTGTCCCCTGGCCGCTTCTGCTGGAGCTCGCGACACGTGGTCTCTCCGGAGAACCCCAGGTAGCGGGGAGGGCTGGGGGCTGAGGCTGCCGGAGCCGCCGAGCGCGGGCCCCCGACGGCCCCGCCCGCGGGCCCGGCTGGCCGTTCGCACCCCGAGACGACGGGAAGTGACACCTGAGCTCCACCGCGCTGTGCTAGGATGGCACGGCTCCCTGCGGAGATTTGGAACGCAGGGGTCAGCTGCTTTCTTTTGTTAAGAGTTATTTTATTTAACTTTATTATTATTTTCCAGTTTGGTCAGAGAAAGAGGGAAGGTGAGAAAGCAAGCCACCAGGTCCGGGACTCGAAACACTTGGCCATGTGGGAAGTCCAGTGCCTTTAACCACCAGGCCACCTGCTAGCCGCAGGATCAGCTGGTTAAAATCTGGACTCTGTCTTTATCCCGGAGCTAGTCGGTGTCTATAAAAACATATTTTATATTTTTGTCAAATTTGTTTAACTGTGGAATCAGAGCCTTGCAAAATCTAATTTTCCTAAAGTCTCTTTTTGCATCTCTCTCCAAGCTGCTGAGTTCTGCGTCCTTCCTACTTCAGTACATCTTCACTGTAGAGTGAGAGTACGTGACAGGAAAACTGCACTTTATCAGTTTAATGTTTTATTGTCAGATGAGCATCCTTGTAAGCATTTCTCAAATCAAGGGCAGAACTGTCAGCCATACCAGAAGTCCGTCCAAGTCCCCCATCCCAACCAAAGGCTCTCCCTGCCCCAAAAGTAACCACTAGCCTGACTTAGAGCAAGCAGTTGTTTGCATTTAAGCACATGCACAGTATAGCTTAGACTTGCTCTCTTCTTTAAAAAAAAAAAATTATTTGTTGTGATTTTCAAGCCACCAGGTCCAGGACTCAAAGTGCGGTCAGCTGTGTGAGAATCCAGCGTCTTAACCACCATGCCACCTCCTGGCCCCCTTGCCCTTTTTTTGATTGATGTCTTTTAAGACTCTCTGAATTTACAGGTTCTCCCCAATTTCTTTCTTTTTCTTCCTTTAAAAAAAATTATTTATTTAATTCCATTCATTACTATTTTTTAATTTGACCAGAGAGAGAAAGGGAAAGGGAGAAAGCAAGCCACCAGGTCTGGGATTCGAACTGCTTTTGGCCATGTGAGAATCAGTGCCTTTAACAAACATGCCACCTGCCAGACCCTCCTTTTCTTTTTTTTAAGAATTATTTTTATTTTTTTATTCATTATTATTACGATTTATTTTGACCAGAGAGACACAAAGAGAAAGAGAATGTGAGAAAGCATGCTACCAGGTCTGGGACTCTAATCATGGTAGACCATGTGGGAGTCCAGTGCCTTAAGCACCACGACACCTGCTGCCCCCCCCCCTTTTTTTTTACAAGGCATCTATTGAAGAACCCAGCCGTTTGCTGTGTAAGGTTCCCTGCTGATTGGACATTGTACGTTACACACTCGTGGCTTATTTCAGCAAACTCCTTGGTCTTCTGACTCTGATAAATTGGCAGATGCATCCAGAAGTCTGAGCAGGCTCAAGTTCAGTTTTGTGTTTTCTTTTTTTTTTTTTTGAGAGGTGTTTGCTATCGGGCACGTGCGTTCGCCAGAAAGACAGAGACAGAGACAGAAAGCGAGAAACCACCCCCCAGAGGGGATGGCCACGCCACAATCCCTTCTCCTCCATTCTCCTCTACCCACATGCACCCAGCTTGAGTTTTAAACCACCAGATCCAGGACTCGAACCGTGGTTGACTACATGGGAGTCCAGTGACATAGCCATGACGCTAACTGCTGGTCCCTAGTTTTGTGTTTTTCTGGAGAACACCTGTGCTTACTAGAGAAAGACGAGAGAAGGGGAAAGGAGAGAGCACCTCCCCACGGGAAGTGGTCACACCTAGTCCCTTCTCCACTCCTCTGTCCTGTTGTTATTTTGGGCACACACACATGCCCACGTGTTTTCCAAGCTTCGGGGTCAGAGATTCATATTGCGTGCTTGACCACGTGGGATTCAGCTCCCTTAACCACTAGGCTGTGAGGCCGGCCTGGCCTCTCTCCCTCCCTCTTTCTGTCCCTGGCAAGCACACACACCTCCTGGCAAATTTTTAAAAAGAAGAAAGAAAAAGAAAGAAAGGATTAAAATATAGCAGAGATGGCCAACTCTGTGGCCTGGTGGTTAAGGAAGGCAGGTCCCACTTTATTGATGTTCAGTTCAAGCCCCAGTGGCTTGAGAAACATGCTCTGTGTGTGTGTGTGTGTGTGCATGTGTGCATGTGTGCATGTGTGCGTTCCATTGCGCCCACAATCCCAAAAGAAGAAGGAGCTGGAGGAGGAGGGATTGTGGCATGACCATTCTCCATTGAGGGAATGCTTTCTCCTCCTCTCTCTGCCTGTCTCTCTCTGGCTACCACATGCATCCTATAGCAAAATAAATAAACGTAAAGATAAATAAAAACGGTCTGTCCACTGTTGCACATCACACACTTATGGCTTATTTCAGCAAGCAGACATGCCAAGGAAAACGGTGAAGAAGCAAAGACCACAGAATTGAAGAGGAAATTACGGTCTTTGAGAGAGGGTCCTATGGAATGGTGGAAGCCGAACTTACCTTATTACAGTAGTTTTCTTTTTAAAAAAAAAATTATTTAACTTTTTTATTATTTTATTTTAGAGAGGGACAGAGTCAGAGAGAGAGAAAGTGAAAAAGCAAGCTGCCAAGTCTGAGACTTGAACAGTGGTTAGCTGTGTGGGAATCCAGCACCCTTAACCACTATGCTACCTGCCATGCCCGTTCCATTACAGTGATTTTCAAAGTCTGGTTCCTGGACCAGCTACAGCATTACCTGGAAATTTGTGAAAACTGTATTCTTGGATTCCATATTTGATCATTTGAATCAGAAAGTCGGGTGTGGGGCCCACTAATCTATGTCTTTTCCTTTTTTTTTTTTTTTTTTTTAGAGGTTTTTGCTATTGGGGGGGGTGCGCTCGCCAGAAAGAGACAGAAAGCGAGAACTCACCCCCCCCCGGGGGGGTGACCACACCGCAATCCCTTCTCCTTCACTCTCCTCTCAGGGTCTTGAGTACGCACACACACGTGCCTGGTGTGAGTTTAAGCCACCAGGTCCAGGACTCAAACCGCAGTCGACTACATGGGAGTCCAGCGACATAGCCATTGCGCTAACTACTGGTCCCTATGTCTTAATGAAACTAAGCCAGGACTCCCTCAGAGGGATGTGTCCTCAGTTTCCCCTTGTGTTTAAAAAAAAATAATAAGAATTCCCCAAACTGAATATTAGTAAGGGTTGAACTAAAAGTATTTTCTAAGGTGCTTGGGATACAAGGTCCATTAGATTGTAATAACTCAGAGTAAGGTGTAAGACTTCAGATTTTGGTTATGATAAGGAAGGAACATTGGCCATGAATAAGGGTCATTAGACCTCTAGAACTCTCACTTAAACAAAAGTTAAGGTTTCAATTTCAATCTGTAAGAAGTTTTGTAGGATAGAATCTACTGGCTGTGAGCTCAAAGCTCCCAGGCTGAATGGCTCCAGAAACCTGAACAGAAATTTGGTTATCTAAGGCCTCGCCAATCAAGAATGCCCATGAGAAGATCACACCCTCTTGAACTGACCCCTGCCCCTAATTTTGCCCTTAACAATGCTTATGGGGAACACTTCAGGGAGACTGGGTCTTTTCTGCAAGAGCTGCCAGCTTTGCAATAAAATTGTACTTCCCTTGGTCACTCCCTACCCCTGTGCTTTGGTCTGCAGGCGTAGGCAAGCAAACCTGATCTGAAATAATCGCATTGATAAGATCTCCAGGTGATTTTGTTATCATTTTTTAATTTATTCCCCAAAAAACTCTTTGGCTGCTCAGTACCACAGAGCCAACTTATGAAACTGAATCTGAGTGTCATGGCCCAAGCTTTAGTCAACAGCCAAAGAATGGAGAAGTAGGAACCAAGCTCCCAGATGAACTGGCGAGTATTAGGTGTAGCTAATGCAGTAATGAGACAGGAGAGGGTCATAGAAGGGAGGCATACTCAAAGCTTTTCCTGGAAACAGTGGAGACAGCCCAGAATTCCAAGACCCGTCTCCTTTTTCTCCTTGTCAGGACCTTTCTGGTAGGTTTGCTGATACTTGTGAGGTGTTATGGTGCTGGAGGTGTGTCGTTGACATGTACGTGACACTGTACTGTGGTTGGGAGTCTTCAGAGGTCACAGTGGTAGCCATCTTGGATCCCATGTGTCCTGATCCGTAGAGGGAAAGCATTGTCTTAACTACAGACATGTGGGACCAGCATTTATGTCACTGGACTCCCATGTGTCAACCACAGTTCAAGTCCTGGCCCTGGTGGCTTAAACTCATGCCGGCACGTGTGTGTGTGTGCCCAAGATCCCAAGAGGAGAATGGAGAAGGGATTGCAGCGTGGCCATCCCCCCTGGGGGGTGATTTCTCGCTTTCTGTCTCTGTCTTCCTGGTGAGCGTGTGTGCCCTATAGCAAAAACCTCTCCAAAAACAAAACAAAACTACAGACATGCATCCTATGACTTAAAGAAAAACACTATTGGGGGGACTCGGGTACTGTTTGGGCACAGACCATATGGTGGGTGACAATTCTGATGCACACTAAAACTTGAGAACCACTGATGGAGGCCAGTGAGCTTTTGGGTTGGCAGTGTAAGTTGGTACAGTCCCCATGTAGGACAATTTAACAGTCTTCATCATCATACACTTTACCTCTACTTCAGTAGTGGCATGGTAGTGAGGCAGTAGGCTCCCACATGGCCAACCACAATTTGAATCCCGGACCCTGTGGCCTGAAAATCACACCTGACGTGTGTGCCCAAAATCCCAAGAGGAGATTTTGGAGAATGGAGAAGAATGAATACAGCGTGGCCTTCCCCCCCGGGGGGGTGATTTGTCACTTTCCCTCTCTGACACGCTCTGTCTGTCTCCATCAAACCCACATACCCTATGGCTGAAAAAAATAGCAGTGCGTATTCCCTCAGGCCCAGCATTTTCAATTGTAGGAATTACGTGCATGCAGGCAAAATAACTCATGTCCAAGATTGCAGCATTATTTGACTGGAAACTTAACGTCTATCACTGAGTAGAATCAAAAAGGAACGAATATTGACTTTCTGTGTGTGTTGACAAAAACTCCAGAAGGAAAAATGCATGGTTAATAACGTGGCAATACCGTGGTTACCTAGGGAGGGAGATGGAAACTAGATAAATAAGGAAAGGCAGAATTGATAGGGAGATACTGGAACAGAGAATCCTGAAGACATGCTTCTGTTTCCAACTATGCCCAAAACCATCTCCTTAGAGTTCCTCAAGGTAACAGATGATTTTTTTTTTCTTTTTGTTTCTGTTACAGCCCAAAGAATCCCCAAACAGAGTGAGATTCCGAAGCTCTTCATGCCCTTTCCTTCTCCTTGTCAGCGAAATAAATGGCTCCCAAGTTCTCTCCTGCAGCAATTCTCCTGGGAAGAAGGAAGATTTACATCCCCACACATAGAGCTTTTCACTTCCAGCAAACTTCCTTGGAGCTCAGTCATAAAATATTCAGGTGACACCATCTGGTAGCTCCTGAAAGCATTCCTCCTCTGTTGATTACAAACCAGTGCCTGGGTCAGAGGCCCGTGATATTAACAAGGCTCTTCTCTTGGGGCATGAGGGGAGCTATTTGCCACCTGGGTATTCTGCCTCGTGGCTCCTTAGAGTCCAGTCTTGTTAGCCCATGGTCTGGTTGCCATCGTTTTAAGGACACTGTGCACCAGTGGACCTCAATTCTGGCTTCACACTAGACTCTCTCAGAAGCCTTCGAAGAACAAGTGTGTCTGGGCCACAACCCTAAAGACTGTGATGTGACTCGTCTTGGTTAGGACCCACCCGTAGATATATATGTATATATGTTTTAGTATTATTTTTAGTTTTTAATCCACAAGACAAAGAGGGAAAATGAGAAGGCTAGCTGCTAGGTCTTGGGCTGAAACGGAGGCAGGAGTACTGGGAGATCAGACACAGCACAAGTCAGTTTTTGTCCTACACTTATGACGAAGTAGAGGCACGGACACAGAGAGGAGAGGAGAGTGGAATTTATCAGGGAAGGAGATAAAGCTTCCAGTGCAATGGAAGGGGTCCCGAATGGATTGCCAGAGAGAGGCTGGAGGCCAGGGGCTTTTATCTAGCAGTCCGAGCAGTGGGCAGACTTTCTGTTAAGGAAGTAATCTTTAGAAATGGTTGCATGGTGGTATGAGTGATTTATTACCCTGTTCTTTGTGGGCTCAGCAGACCGTAGCGTCCTGTACTTCTGGTTAGAGTACAGTTACTGAGCAGAAACTGTGGCCCTTAGCTGCAGCTGCCTTGAGTCTCAGTGCCGCCAGCGTTCGGCTGTGAAAAACTGGCCACTGTGACTCCATCTTGGTTCTTATCCTGTCTGTGTGCTCAATATCCCTATCTTCTGCCTTAGTAACAAGGTGTCATGAATTCTTTAGAGACATGTAAGAGGGACATGTATTGTACATTAACCAGACCATAGAGGGAAAACACAGAAACTTCATTAAAAAGAAAAACAGGTCAATTCCTTTTGGGGCCCTTACCCTGTCTACCTGTAAGTGGGTCTAACTCCTATCTCAAAACTGTGGTCGACCAGGTGAGAGTCCAGTACCCCAACCATAATGCCACCTGCTGGTGTGTGTGTGTGTATGTGTATAAAAATGTTGAATTTTTTTATTCAGAAAGAGAGAGCGTCACCCCCAAAGGGATCTCCATGCTGTGATCCACCCCCAGCTTCAGCCAGCGCGGGATCCTGGGCACCATATGTAAACCTGGAACCTTCCCACCTGGGCTGCGCTCAGAGCATTGTGTTAGCGCTGTGCTGCTGTCTGGCCCCCTTCATCTGATTTTTCTAGCTACTCCCCAGCAATTCTGTCATGCCAGAGCTGACGGCCAGGGGCATACTGCATCTCTAGCTAGGCCTTACGAGGTGTAACCGAAACGTGTTTGGTGACTGCCATCCTGAGCTCCTCGGAGAGTGTGGCTTTCTCCACTCCTCCAGTCATGGTTCGCTCCTAAACTGATCTGATGAGCATTGCAGGTGCTGAACACTCGATCACTGAAGCTGTACCACTAAGTACCATGGCGTTTTCCCCACGTATTATAGTAATAATAGTGAGTGGATTACCAGGATTTATCTACATGTTCCACGAGGGCCAAAAACTAACTGTAAATTACTTTAGTATTCACTATTGGGACCAGCAGTTAGTTTAATGGCTATGTCGCTGGACTCTCACGTAGTCAGCCGCAGTTCATGTCCCGGATCCAGTGGCTTAAAACTCATGCCGGGCGTGTGTGTGTGCGTGCCCAAGATCCCGAGAGGAGAAAGTAGGAGAAGGTATTGCAGCGTGGCCATCCCCCCTGGGGGGGTGATTTCTCGCTTACTGTCTCTCTGTCTCTCTCTGTCTGGTGAGCGCATGCACCCTGTAGCAAAAACCTCTCCAAAATGAAAAATATTCACTGTCAAATCTGACAAATCTTGTTTATATGGTATATAAAATATTGTTTTCATCAGATTTGGTGGGACTTATATTTAAAGAATTGACTGAAACTGAGCTTGATAACAACACTACACTATTTAAACAAGTTTCTTGTTTCTGACTGTCAGAAGAAAAAAAAAAAGTGCCGAGCCTGTGTTAGGTATTGGGAATACAATGATGAATGAGACAGGTCTTTGCAGCTGGGGTTTGCCATTAGAGATGGGGAAGATTGGCAGGTAAATCAACACAGGATAAACGATGGGATTCCAAAGGAGGGCGTGGTGAGTTCTAGTGACAAGGAGACAGGTGAGACCCAGCAAGGGCTTTTCTCTGCAAAGTGACTCTGACTAAGTCTTCAAGGAATTTATTGTAAGGCACAGCAGCGAAGGTGAGGGTAAGGAGAGGGTGGAGCTTGAGCAAAGGTCCTGGAAATAGCTGTGCTCACACCATGGCCTGGGGCAACAGGGCAGAGAGGAGAATGGAAACACGGGGAGCCCTCAGATCGGGAGAGCTTTTGTCTCCCTGAGGGAGTTTGAACTTTAACCTGTAGACAGGGCAGCTGTGGAAGAGCTATCATCTGGGGCCATCAGGTGGTGTGGTTGAGGTGCTGGACTCACACATGGTCGATGTGGTTCAAGTCCCAGATCTGGTGGCTCGAAACTCATGCCAGGCACATGTACATGTGTGCCCAGAATCCCTGGAGGAGAAGGGATTGTGGTGCGTGTGGGAGAGTGATTTCTCACTTCCCCTCTCACTGTCTGTCTTTGGCTCTCCAGTGAACACACACACCCTATGGTGGAAACAAAACAAAACAAAACCAAAAAAGGCAAGCTGTCATCAAGATAAACCTGGCCGTATGTGTTTTAGTAGAACTGTCTATCTGGTAGCAGCAGGGAAGATGGGTTGGAATGGTGTAATGTATAATACAGACTGCAGCTGAGGGACTAGTCCAGGTAAGACGAAGAGAACTTAGACCAAGGCACTGGCAGTGGAGACACAAAGGGGAGGAGACGTTTGAATGAAATTAAGGGAGCACAATGTGCACAGTCTGGTGACTGAGTGGAGAGAGGAGGACAGAGAAGTATCATGATCATGGCTTGGATGACTGACTGATGAGGCGGACTGTGATGTAGCTCAGAAGAATGAAGGAAGAGCGAGGCAAGATGGCGGGCAGGGCAGCAGGTGCCTGTGGGCCGTCCAGGGCATGCCGGCTGGTAGGAAGAGTACATCTGCAAAGTTACAGACTGAGACGGGTATACAGGTGGTCATTGAAGTGATGAGGAGAAGGAAACTGGCATGAGAAGAAAGGAAGCCAAGAACAGACTGCAAGTGAGTATTAGAGAAAAAAAATTAAAGATTAGGGAGAAGTAGTTGGTGAGGCAGGAAGGACAGTAGGACTGAGTGGGAAGAAAGACTTCATAAGAAGGACATTGTGTGGCCAGATGGTGGTGTCATGATAAGACATGAAGCTCTGCAAGGCTGACCCTCACAGGAAGACTGGGTTTGTATCTGGAGACTTCCCCGAGTATGGGCACGCGTGAATCCATGATCTCGGACTCACTGAGGCTGGAGGAGGGTATGGATCATGGCGTCAGGAGTGCTTTCTCTCTCTGTCTCTTTGTCTCTGCCACTCATGGAAGAGATAAATAAAATGAACTTTACAAAAGGGAGGCAAGGGGCAGTCCATGGTGTGGTTAAGGTGACTGGATTCCACATGGCTGATTGTAGTTTGAGTCCCAAAATCTACACCTTGAGAAACACACTGGGCATATGTGTGTGCGTGCCCAAAATCTCAAGAGGAGGGGCAGATGAAGAAGAGATTGCCTTGTGACCATCCCCCGGGGGTGTTCTCTCTCTTTCTTTCTTTCTCTCTCTCCATTGGGCACACATGCCCTCTGGCAAACTTTAAAAAAAAGGGGGGGGATGTGTGTAGAGACTCATACCAATTCAAGTTCTCTAGGGTACATACACATGGGAAGAGATTTATTATGAAGACTTGGCACACACATTCATAGAGGCTGAGAAGTCCCACAATCTGTGTCCTCCAGCAGAAGACCTATGGAAGCCCTCGGAGTCTTTCTCATTGTTTAAGTCCAAAGTTCTAGGGGAGGCGATGCTCTAAGTCCAAAGGCAGAGGCTGAGCGGTGTCCCAGCTCAAGCAGGCAGGAAGGAAACAAAACGGGTGAGTCCCTCCTCCTCACCTTTGGTTCTGCTGAGGCCCTCATTGGGTTGTGTGGTACCACCCCACCCACAATGGGGAGGGCAGTTTATTTTACTGCTCCCACGGATTCCAGTGCCGGCCTTGTCTGCAGACACCCTACAGACACACCCAGCAATAATGTTTACTCCGGGCATTCCTTGGCCCCGTCGAGCTGACCCTGACCCATAGGATGAACTATCACAGGACACTGAGGACTGTACAGACGGCCTTGAGGTTAAGAAATGCCAGATCCCACATGACCAGCTGAGGTTCCTAACGTTCTAGCTCCAATGGCTTGAAAGACACACCAGGCGCATGTGAGTGCGTGCCTCAAATCCCAATAGGATGGGAGGTGGAGGAGAATGGGTTGCAGCATGGTTATACCCCACTGCAGCTATACCCCGTTTTTCGCTCACTTACTTTCCATCTCTGGTGAACCCACATGCTCTTTGGCAACTTAAAGTCGACAAAAATAAAGTGCCGCCCCATCTCACATCCCCCCCCCCCAGAAATCAGGAAGGATGGAAATTGTGGTGGCATTTTCCTTTTTGATCACCCTATCTCTTTTGCCATTTTTGGGTAATAGCACCCCAATTCCCTCTTAACAAATGACTGCTCCCCAATATATGCAGCCATGGTAGGACTGTGGGGACATTCTGTACTGCCACCCTAAGCCACTGTGTGAGCATGAGGCCCAAGCCCTGCCCTGTAGACATACCCAGGACTTGGAAACTTGAGCCAACTGCTCTGGGGATGGATAAATTTAATGCCAATAGAGCTCGCTTATCTGATGAGACTGTCGATTAACTCTTGTAACTTATATGTCTTCAATTTCGGGAGCTGTGATACCTTTCAATAAACTCCGAAGCTTAAATTAGCAAGGGCTGGTTGATGATCCTTCCAGCCAGATAACCTGGATTCACCCACTTGGAAGTCATAGGGGACTGCCTGTGTAGTCCTGGAATGAGGAGGTGCAGGGCTGAGTGAAGAGAGGCTGGAAGGTGGGGACCTGAGAATATAATGTCTTTTTTTTTTTTTTTTTGGAGAGATTTTTGCTATAGGGCGCGTGCGCTCGCCAGACAGACAGAGAGAGACATAGAGACAGAAAGCGAGAAATCACCCCCCAGGGCGGATGGTCACGCCGCAATCCCTTCTCCTCCATTCTCCTCTCGGGATCTTGGGCACGCATGCACACACGCCCGGCGTGAGTTTTAAGCCACCGGGTCCAGGACGCGAACCACGATCGACTACGTGGGAGTCCAGTTACGCTAACTGCTGGTTCCCTAGTCTTTTTTTTTTTTTTTTAAGAATTTTTTTAGTTGTGTGTGTGTGTGTGTGTGTGTGTGTGTTAGGACATGTACACTTGCCAGAGAGAGAGGGAGAGACAGACACAGTGAGAGAGAAAGTGAGAAATCACCCCCCTGGGGGTGTGGCCACACTGCAGTCCCTTCTCCTCCATTCTCCTCCTGGGATCTTGGGCACACACACACACACACACACACACACACACACGGTGTGATTTTGAAGCCACCGGGTCCAGGGCTTGAACTGCATGTGGGAGTCCAGCAACGTAACCGCTATGCCATCTGCTGATCCCAGTAATAATATATCCTAATCTTTTGTTTTGGAAGAGAAGGGAAGTGGCTAATTCTTTTTATCTATCTTTTTTTTTTTTTTTTTGCTATAGGGTGCTGGAAAGAACTGATGGAGAGCAAGAGTGAGGGGTAATCACCCCTGGGGGAGTGGCCATGCTGCAGTCCCTTCTCCTCCATTCTCCTCTTGGGATTTTGGACACACACACACACACACACACACACACACACACACGTGCCCAGTGTGTTTTCCAAGCTGCCAGGTCTGAGACTTGAACAGTGGAGTCAGCCATGTGGCATGTGGAATCCAGCCACCTTAACCACCACGCCACCAGGCTAGCCCAAAGTAGCTCATTATTTTTAACCACATTCAGATTCATGTTTTGATAGGTTAACTGAAAAAGTGTTCCTGAAACTTGAGCAGCCAGAGATCTGTTCCCTGCCCCATGTGTCAAATTGACCTTTAAAGTGTTTACTTTACGGTTGACTACATGGGAGTCCAGCCATGTAAATGCTACACGATCTGCTGGTCCCAAATTTTGGTATTTTTAAAAATACACATAAAGACATTTTCCTTCTCTAGCTAAACGTGGACCAAACTGCTTACAAGAGGTCTTCATGAGTTCATGGGAAATTCATATTATCAAAAAACTAAACATGAATTTCAAAATGTTTTGCACCAAAATCAATTTAGACTTTAGTTCCATTTTTTTTTCTGGAACTTTTTTGTCGTCTTCTCCTATAGTGATTTTCTGCCCTCCAGTGGTTGTTAAGAAGCATTCAGAAATTGATCGTCTGTTTTTAAGTATTTGAAATTATGATAGGAGTATATTTTCTTTATGACAGACTCCTTGATTTTAGGAATTCGAAGTGATTGATAAATGTACTGTCATTCCTCTTAAAAACAGGCGGAACTCACAAAAAGCTGTGACCTCATTACATAATGCAAACGCAGAGGATCTCCAGCAACCAGTAGGTGGAGGAATTTCCAAAGCTAAGAACTCCACTTGGCTCTCCAAACCTGACTTCAGAACCTGAAGACTTTGAAGAGCATCGATTCCGTCTCTGCTTTATATTAAAGGAAGCAAGGAGTGTTGACTAGCTCCAAGTTGACAGACACATGTAAGTATCACCCAGGAAATTCTGGTAGAAGAAAAGGCTGCTTGGGTTAGGATTACATTTTATTGGGAAATGTGAGAATGGGGTGAGGGCAAAGCCTTGTCATAGGATGGGTCATATGAGACAAAAAGCTGGAAATAAACAGGATGTATGAAGATGACCGCGGAGAGGAGAGGCCACGAGAGGAGAGCGAGCCTCTACAATGTGATGGAAACGATTATGCACAGTGGGCCAGGGAGGGAGGCTGTTGGCTTCAGTCCAGTTAGCAATGGAAAAGTGTAAAGGACAAAGGACAGATACTGCTCAGAGATGAGGTGTGGTGCAAATGGGTGTGAAAAACATTGACTTGCTTCCTCTGCTCCTTGATTAACACTAGAAGCAACCAGTCCCTAGTGGAAAACCAAAGACGCTCTTAATCACCCAGGGAAATTTTTTTTCTTAATTGCCAGAGGGCACATGTGCCCACCTGAGAGACAGAGAGAGGGAGAGGGAAAAAGCACCTACCACGAGGTGTGGTCTTGCCACAATCCCTCTCCTCCATTTCTTCATCCTGGTGGCATTTTGGGTGTGGACACATACATGCCCAGCATGTTTTTCAAGTTTGCTGGTGAGACTCTGAGACACATGATTTGCCATGTGGGGTCCAGTTCCCTTAACCACTAGGCGATGGAGCCAGCCCCGCCAAGAGCCATTAACCTTGATCATTCAGATTCCTTCTTTGGAATTTTCACTCTCAACTGTCACCAGTCCTCCCAAACTTCTTCCTGACCTCCCTGCAAGGAGGTCCACTAGCCTAAATGCTACTCTCTCCCTCCCCATCGTTCTTTTCTTTTCTTTTTCAAAGGATTGTTTGTTGAATTTCTATTTTTTATTATTATTTTATTTTGACCAGAGAGAGACAGCGAGAGAGAGGGAAAGTGAGAAAGCGAGCTGTCAAGTCTGGGACTCACACGGTGGTTGGCCATGTGTGAGTCCAGTGCCTTAACTACCAAGCCACCCGCTGGCCCTCTCAGTTCCTTTTTTAACAGTATATTTATTTTAAATTTATTTTTTAATAATATTTAAAAATATTTCTCAATTTAATTTTATTTGTCATTATTATTTACTTATTTATTTATTTGACCAAAGTGAGAGAGTGCAATGTAAAATTCTTTCTTTCTTTTTTTCTTAAGAGATTTTTGCTATAAGGTACGTGTACTCACCAGAGAGACAGAGACAAAAAGTGAGAAAACAGGATGTGTTCAGTCTACAGTCCCTTCTCCTCCATTCTCCTCTTGGGATTTTGGGCACACAAGCACACATCAGGCATGAGTTTTAAGCCACCAGGCCCTGGACTTGAACTGTAGTTGATTATGTGGGAGTCCACTGGGGTAACCATTATACCACCTGCTGGTCCTGTAAGATTATTTATGAAAAAAGATGATTTATTTCTCCTATGAGTATATGTGAGAGAGAGAGAGAGAGCCAGAGACAGCACCCCTTCCAGGGTCCTGATGCCACCCCCAGTCTTAATCGACCCAGAATCATGGGCACACACATGCCTGGTATTCTCTGTGAGGTCCGATTGCTTCATAGGGGATCACCTAGCAGAGCCTTTTACTGTCACACTACTCCCTAGCCCCGATGTAAGATTATTTCTTATGTAACTACCTAGGGCAGGTTCAGGCCAGTAAGTGGCTCTCTTTCAAGGATCAGGCTTTTTCTAACTTGCTGTTCTCGCATAAACAGAGCATGTTGCCATTTGCATGACTGAGGCCGGTTGCCATGTCCAGGATCCATCCGGCTGGTGGAAGGGAAGGGCAGCCTGGAACAAGACTGAATCCTGAGGTGAGATTTGCCGCACCCTGTAACACTCACATTCCTTCCTGGAGAAGCTAATCACATGGCCACCGAACTGCAAGGGAAGTTGGGAAATGTAGTCGATTAAGAAGACAATACGTTTTAGAGGACAGCTAGTGGCTTTGTCACAAGCAATTTTGTTTAATTTCATGTTTGAAAAAAAATGTAAGACGATCTCATTTTTCAAAGAATTACATCTTCACAGGTATCACAGTGCTTCGTCAAATGGGCACAACTTAAGTTAGGGCAGATCTGGAATGGAAACCAGATTCTGACTGTCATGCTCTTTCTAATTAATGAAGACCTTCTTGACTTTCTGAGAGGGTTCATGCAGTAATTAGCTTTCTTTTTTTCTCCTTTGAAGATAAACCCTATAGGAAACATCTCCAAGACATGGAAATCTTTTTGAGAGAAAGAGAACAACTTATTTCTGTAAACTATAGAGCATGGGGTTAATTTAATTTGAGAAAATGCTCGTTTAGCCAGTTGGTGGAAACAGCCTGCAGAATGTAGACCATATTGCTGGTGTAATTATTTTAGATGCTAACAAATGAGAGAACATTTTGATAACTCTGTGAACCAGATTTCAGTCATTAACAATGGGACATCGGTCCTTCGTGCCACACTCACCGAATGGGCTCCCATTAACACATACTTCCCTTTTTCTTCACGGAATTGTACCTTGGCTGAGACTGAGGATCTGGGAGAATGCTGACCACTTATTTGGTGAATATGGGCAGGTCATCTAAATAACTTAGTTTTCAAATACCACCTTTCAGGGACCAGCAGTTAGCGTAATGTGTATGTCTTTGTACTCCCATGTAGTTGACTGCAGTTTGAGTCCTAGACCCAGTGGCTTAAACTCACACCGAGCACATGTGTGTGCATGGCCAAGATCCCAAGAGGAGAAGTAGGAGAAGGGATTGCGGCGTGGCCATTTCCCCTGGGGAGTGATTTCTCGCTTTGTCTCTCTGTTTTTCTGGCAAGTGCACATGCCCTATAGCAAAAAAAAAGAAAAGAAAAAAAAAACAAAACAGAAAAAAACTACCTTTCAGTAGGCACATGTAGTTTTTTTTTTTAATTATTATTATTATTTCTTTTGCTTCAGTTGGTTAGACACATAACCAACATCTCGCTGTCATAGAGCTAAAGAAGTGAGATTCATAACAATGGAGCAAACTCCTAGAGATTCCACCCAACTTTTCCCTCTATCCTAGAGCTTGGAGAATGGGCGTAACTTACAATGTCTTTAAAAACCATGTTGTTGGGACCAGCAGATGGCAAAGTAGTTACGTTGCTGGTCTCCCACAAGGCTGACAGTGGTTCAAGTCCTGGGCCCAGTGGCTTAAAAACTCACACTGGGCACTTGTGCTTGTATGCTCAAGATCCAAGAGGAGACTGGAGGAGAAGGAATGTGGTGTGGCCATCTCCCCGGGGAGTGAGTTCTCCCTGTCTGTCTTTCTGTCTCTCCAGCAAGTGTATACACCTTATAGCAAAAGTCTCTCTTATAAAAAAAAATTGCTATAAATTCATACCCTTTTTCTGAAGATACAGCTCATACAAGGTTCTCGTAAAATACCACTTCAGACCTGTACCGATTTTTGGTAATGCTGCAGAGCAGTGTCTCTAAATATCTATAAGGGATTACAGATTTTATCGTGCTTGTTTGCAGAAGGCAATCTCTCTCTTGGAACTGAGGGTTTGCATCCACTTAATTGATGTTTTTTCTACAGCTCTTAATCTGGAGAGGAAAGCCCAGAGCAGGGGCTGTCATAGTGTCAGCTGCGTGCAGGACTGGCACTGTAGGGCACGTGTCACTAGCATCTCCTCTGCCAGGACACACGTGCTGTTCATTATATGTGCCTCACAGGGTCAATGAAGAGAAAAGAGCAGTCTTCCCAAACAAACCTACACAACTGCTACGTTTATTGGAAGACTTCCCTTCCTAGGCTGACTGACTTCTGAATGAAAAACATGAACTCATAGACTTACTATTAAACATAGAAACAGGGGCCCCAAGTGTCATGGTGGTTGGGGAGCTGGACTCTCATGTGGCTGACAATGGTTCAAGTCCCGAACCTGGCAGCTTGCTTTTTCACTCTCTCTCTCTCTTTCTCCCTCTCTCTCTCTGGTGAGTGCACATGCCCTATAGCAAATTAAAATAATGATAATTTTAGTAAATAAATAAAATTAAATAAGTAATTATTAATTTAAAAAAAGTGACAGAAACCCAGGGACAGCCCTGGAGCACAGTGGTTAGGCGTGGAGCACTGACTGGGGTTTGAGTCCTGGGCTCCAGCAGCACATGCGCCCAGCCTCCTGCTAGGAGAGAGAATTGGCGCTTCTCTCTTGGTTGGGGGGTGCTCTCTCCTCTCTTCCTCGTTGTGTGCACATATCCTTTTGAGGTAGGAGTACTGGGTGATCAGACCCAGCATGCAGGTTGGTTCTTGTCCTGTGCTCATGAAGGATTAGAGACACAGACATAGAGAAGAGAGGAAAGTGGAATTTATTAGGGAAGAAGAAAAAGCTTTGGATGCAGTGAAAGGGGTCCAAAACGCATTGCCATCGAGGGCCTGGAGGTGAGGGGCTTTTATCTAGCAGTTCGAGCAATGGGCTGGCTTTCCGAGAAGGAAATGGAGTTTAGAAAATGGTTGCATGGTGGTATGAGTGATTTATGAGTGTTCTTTGTGGGCTCAGCAGACCGTAGCGTCCTGTACTTCTGGTCAGAGTACAGTTACTGAGCAGAAACTGTGGCCCTTAGCTACAGCTGCCTTGAGTCTCAGTGCAGCCAGCGTTCGGCTGTGAAAACTTGGCCACTGTGACTCCATCTTGGCCTTACCCTGTGTGCTCAATATCCCTCGCTTCTGCCTTATTAGCAAGGTGTCATGAATTCTTTAGAGACATGTAAAGGGATGTATATTGTTATATTGTACATTTATCAGACCATAGAGGGAAAACACAGAGACCTCACCAAAAAGAAAAACACAGTGACTTCCTCTGGGGGCTCTTACCCTATCTCCTGTAGGTGAGTCTAACTCCTATCTCATTTTGGCATAAAATAAGTGCACCCTCTGGTTATTCTCCAAGATAAATCTTTTCTTTACTGTCTAAGAGAGGCATTTTTGCTATGGGGTGCATGCACTTGCCAGAGAGACAGAGAGAGAGAGAGACAGAAAGTGAGAAATCAACCCCCAGGGGAGATGGCCACACTGCAATCCTTTCTCCTCTATTCTCCTCTCAGGATTTTGAACACATATGCACATGCGCCCAACAGGAGTTTTAAGCCATTGGGTCTGGGACTCGAACCACGGTCAACTACATGGGAGTCCAGCAGCATAACCATTACACCATCTATTGGTCCTAACTTTTTAATTTTAAAATTCATGATAATGTGAGGAAAAAGAGGGAGAGAGGGAGAAGCACCCTCACTAAGGTCTGGTCACACTGAGACCCCCTTCCCCAGCCTTCCAGCCCTCAGGACCTTGGGCCTGCTTCCCCTGCATGTTTCAGGAAAACCAGGAAGGGCATCCAGACCCCTGTCAGCCATGTGGCTTCCAGAGCCGCAGTTCACTTACGTAACTGACTGCACCATTCAGGCTGGGCCCAGCCTGAGTTATTGGTAACAGAAAATTAGACTGATTTTTAATGAAGAAAAGCTTGGTGATATTGGTGAACAAATTAAAATTTCATTATGGTTTAGTAAGTGATGCATTCCTTTCATCATTATCTTCATGTCACTAAGGGGGTTAATTTGGAAAATGATGGTCCAAAAAGTGAAGTATAGGCCATCTGTGTGGCCCGCTGGTTAAGGCAACCAGATCCCACATGGCCGGCCACATAGTTCAAGTCCCAAACCTGGCAGCTTGAGAAACACACTGAGTGCACGTGTTTGTGTGACCAAAATTCCGAAAGAAGGGGGACAAAGAGGACACAGGATTACAGCATGACCATCCCCCACGCGGGGCGCTTGCTTCTCTCTTCTCTCCTTGGTAAGCACACACGTGTGCTGTTTAGTGAGCATGTGCATATGTGCGCATGCACACACAGAGAAAGTGTTTAGGGGCCAACGGGTGGCGTGGTGGTTGAGGTGCTGGACTCCCACATGGCTGACCACGGTTCGAGTCCTGAACCTGGTGGCTTGCTTTCTCACTTTCCCCCTTTCTCTGTGTGTGTCTCTCTCTGGTCAGATTAAAAAATAATAATAATAAATAAAATTTAATAAATATATTTAAAAAAGAAAGTGTTGAAATAAAATGGACTCGGGAATCAAACATTTCAAAGTAGGCAAAAAGTCTCTTTAAATATGAAATGATCAATAGTTTTGAAGCAAACATTACCCTTTGTTCATTGCACGTTTTGTGCCAAATGACGAAGCAGACAGTAGAGGAACAAAAGCCACTTGGAGAAATCTGGCTGAATTATCGCTGGGTAACTTGAGCTCGCCTACTTTCCGTTTGCACCACAGACATGAGCTCCGTCTTGTACAGAAACAGTGAGATGGTTAAATCTGCGACAGATGATGGGATCAGCTTGACTCAGCTGAAGCAATTACAGCCCTTAAAACTGCATCTGTACCTGAAGGACAGAAAGTGCCAGTGGTTTAAAATAATTCTTCTGAAATGAATGCATTTAATGAAATGCATGTTTGGAATATGCAGCTTATGAAATAATTCCTAAGGAGTTGATATTGGAAACAAGGGAAGAGACCCCAGGCCCACGTGTCTGACTGCTCGCTCTGCATTCTGGTGAAATACCACAACAGTGGCCTGAATTCAACGTGTTCAAGACTGAAGTGCGGTTTCCGGGAGCTGGTTCTTTCCGTGTTTCCTATCAGGAAATGGCTGGTTTTAAATCCGTGATGAAAAGTGTGAAGGGGGCCATTGCCTGAAACCAGGAAGGCAAATGAGAACACGGGCATGTGGGAGAAGTGTGCGTTAACTTAGCCATGCCGACGTGGCGTTGGACAGGTGGGTAGAAACGCTGCGTGGATGTTTGGAGTCAAGAATCCAGAGTGGGTTAGGGCGGTCATCTACACAGAGGTGATGAAGTTACTCTCAGTGAATGAGAAATGAGATGAAGCCACTGGATCTAAGGACCTTGTAGAGTTTCAGAAATATGGTGAGACTGGAAGCTAGAGTATGGTAGTTCTAAAACTGTGTGCGCTCGTGCGTGCTGTGGTCCTCGCCTTACCTCCGGCTTGGTGTTTGTCCACATACAGGTTGCTAATGCCACTAGATCTGAGCTTTCACATCTTTAAAATGATAGGATTCCCGGGGCCAGCAGGTGGCGTGGTGAAGGCTCTGGACTCCCACATGGTCGACTGTGTTTCGAGTCCTGGACCTGATGACTTGAAAATCATGCCAGGTGCCCAAAATGCCAGGAGGAGAATGGAGAAGGGACTGTGATATGGCTATTTATCCTCTCTGGGGGATGATTTCTCACTTTCTTCTCATAGTCTCTCTGTCTCTCTGAGGTTAGCACACATGCCCTATGGCAAAAAATCTTAAAAAAAAAAATTAAATAAAGATAAAATAGGGACAGCAGATGCCATAATTGTTATGTTGCTGGACTCCCACGTAGTCGGTCGTGGTTCAAGTCTTGGACCCGGTGACTTAAAACACCCCGGGTGCATGTGCATGTGTGCCCAAAATCCTGAGAAGAGAATAGGGAAGAAGGGATTGCAGTATGGTCATCCTCCATGGCGGATGACTTCTCACTTTCTGTCTCTCTGGCAAAATCTCTCTCTCTCAAAAACAATATAAAAGATAAAGGAAAATGATAGGACTCCCTAGATAAACTCACCTAGATTCTAAAAAGTTGAAGTCCAGTTTTCAATGAATAGAAATTGTATGTATCGCCTCAGTTCTGTAGATAAGGAAAAGTGGTTAGAACTGACTATTCCCTTAAGCTCTTGCTGTGAAGGTAATAGATTATCTAAGGATACAGTGTTATCAAGAAAAGGATTTTCAAAACAACAAAGACCAATCTTGTTTGGATGACCATGTCTATCCTGTAATACCCCAGAGGGATCTGTGAGGCCCTCAACGCTTAACTTTCTGACACTGCTTCTCAGTTTGACTTTTTGTGAATGTAGGTGACATACGATCTGCTAAGCATAGATTTCTTGAACCTTTCACTGCATTTATTATCTCGCAGCTTCAGTAACATCCAGCAAGGTGCAGGAAACAAAACACATTGGAAATGCAACCTTGGCTTTGATGATGACTGTGTTTCGAGTCCTGGACCTGATGACTTGAAAATCATGCCAGGTGCCCAAAATGCCAGGAGGAGAATGGAGAAGGGACTGTGATATGGCTATTTATCCTCTCTGGGGGATGATTTCTCACTTTCTTCTCATAGTCTCTCTGTCTCTCTGAGGTTAGCACACATGCCCTATGGCAAAAAATCTTAAAAAAAAAAATTAAATAAAGATAAAATAGGGACAGCAGATGCCATAATTGTTATGTTGCTGGACTCCCACGTAGTCGGTCGTGGTTCAAGTCTTGGACCCGGTGACTTAAAACACCCCGGGTGCATGTGCATGTGTGCCCAAAATCCTGAGAAGAGAATAGGGAAGAAGGGATTGCAGTATGGTCATCTTCCATGGCAGATGACTTCTCACTTTCTGTCTCTCTGGCAAAATCTCTCTCTCTCAAAAACAATATAAAAGATAAAGGAAAATGATAGGACTCCCTAGATAAACTCACCTAGATTCTAAAAAGTTGAAGTCCAGTTTTCAATGAATAGAAATTGTATGTATCGCCTCAGTTCTGTAGATAAGGAAAAGTGGTTAGAACTGACTATTCCCTTAAGCTCTTGCTGTGAAGGTAATAGATTATCTAAGGATACAGTGTTATCAAGAAAAGGATTTTCAAAACAACAAAGACCAATCTTGTTTGGATGACCATGTCTATCCTGTAATACCCCAGAGGGATCTGTGAGGCCCTCAACGCTTAACTTTCTGACACTGCTTCTCAGTTTGACTTTTTGTGAATGTAGGTGACATACGATCTGCTAAGCATAGATTTCTTGAACCTTTCACTGCATTTATTATCTCGCAGCTTCAGTAACATCCAGCAAGGTGCAGGAAACAAAACACATTGGAAATGCAACCTTGGCTTTGATGATTGCTTTATACAAGGGATCTTCAGAAAGGTCAAGGAAAATGAATATTATGAAAAACCTATGCATGGATTTCAGCACCTTTTTTTTTTGTAGTGAAATAAACTCATACTTTCACTCCATTTTTCCATGAATATTTCGGAGTCTCTTTATATTGGGTCATGGGAAAAGTCATGACATCCTTAAATGTGTCATAACTTTTCCAGTGACCTCATACATTGCCAGAACATTTGCAGTGGATTCAACCTACACTAAAGTCACTGAGTAGGTAACCTGCAATATACAGACCTGGTAAAATAACTGGACCTCACGTCCAGATTTTCAGTATTTGCAGTGAAATATTTTGAAAGGCTAATGTCAAGTCCAAGGCCCATGGGGAAATTCCAAAAATTTTGAGTGGGCTCATGTCTCAGTGTGAGTTTTAAGCCACAGGGTCTGGGACTCAAACTGCAGTCAACTACGTGGGAGTTCAGCAATGTAACCATTACAACATCTGCTGGTTCTGAGGCCTTGATTTTAATTTTTTTATTAAAAATTTTAAAAAATGATTTAATTTTATTATTATTATTTTCCAGTTTGATCAGACAGAGAAAGAGAGAATGAGAAAGTGAGCAAGCAAGTCACCAGGTCCAGGACTTGAACCATGGTCTAGGTGGCAGTTCAGCACCTTTAACCACCACACCACCTGTCGGCCCCAAGACCTTGATTTTTTAAACTGGAATTCTAGAATTTCTTATTGACACTCATTCCAACTGCAAATGCTGTATGACATCTTTCTCCTTTTTTGCCAGAGGGAATTGCGTACTTGCCAGAGACAGCCAGAGAGGGAAAAGAGGAAGAGAAAGCACCTTCCAAAAGGTCGTCACAATATAATCCCTTCTCCTCCTTCATCCTGTCAAGATTCCGGGCACACATTCACACGAGCCTGGCATATTTTTCAAGCCACCAGGGCCGAGACATGAACTGTTTGGTCAGCCATATGAAATTGGACCCTCTTACCCACCAGGGCCCGGGGCTGGCCTGACTTTATCTGATACCTATCTCAAAGACAAAGCCAGTCTTCAGGGAAGCTGATGGCATGCTGGATAAATTCTCTAATTCAACCTGAAAGACCCAGCTCTCTTAAATATGACATTAAAACAAGGGCAAATCAGAGGGCCATCAGGTGGCATGGTGGTTAAGGTGATGGACACACCCACATGGTTGACCAGGGTTCATGTTCCAGACCTGGTGGCTTGGTTTCTCACTTTCTCTCTCTCTCTCTGTGGGTGTGTGTGTCTCTGGTCAAATTAAAACAATGAATAAACAAAATTAAATAAATAATTCTTCAAAAAAATAAACTTAAAAATAAAAAACAAGGGCAAATCAAAGTGGAAAAAAATAATTTTAACACCCAAGATTCATCACAGTATTTAAACAATTAAAATCTTTATTTCAGAAGAAGTTTACAGTTGAAAAATGATATTTACTAAAGCCACCACGTTATTCACATAGACAAAACTTTCATAGCAAAGCCTTGGTATATGAGCACTAGTCATTGGAATACTACATGGATAGAGAGGATAGTTTTAAAAAAAATGGAAACAGCAGCGTATCCCAAAGGCTGTAGTAGGCACAAGAGATGCTTGTATTGGGTCTGCAAGACATGACACTACAAGTCATTAACCGGGAGCGAGAAACGACGGGATTTTCAGCACTCCACACTGAACAGATACAAAGGAACATCCTAGTTACTCTTAGGTGGAACAAGCAAGTGCTGTATCGACACTACAAAACAGGACCAGCAAGCCAGACCAACAGACAGTTCTGGAAGCAGCAGGTGTGGGAAGTAGTAAAACGTCTATGGCTTTTTTAGGTTCCTTTTTTGCGACTGGTGAACAAGTCTGGCAAGTGGACAAGAAGAAATTTGTCTAGAATAAAACACTAGAGACACCCTTGCCAAGGCGTCTGATACCTAACAGGTTCCTAACTGGAAAACAATGGAGCAAAATAGAGAGGTATTCTATAGCAAAAAAAAAAAAAAAAAAGAAAGAAAGAAAAGAAAGGAAAAAGAAAAAAATCTGTTCCTTCCACCAAGCTCTTGGCATAAGAATCTGTATGCAGAAAAGTAAGAGTTTTCAAATGACATGGTGGCAAAATAGGTAAGATGAGTATTTTTTAGGAACTAAAGAATATAGGCCTTTCGAGAACCAAGAAACCAGATTGGCCCTTGGTATAGAATTTTCTTATGTTCCTTACAAGCGCAGGTTGACATGTGTATTCATGCTGACAGTGTGTCCAGTGATAAAGATGAGCAGGTGCTAAAAATAAGGAACAATGTCGTACTTTTCCCAGGACACACTAGTGTTATACTAACATTATCTAAAAGGTAAAATGTAGCTTCTCAAAGGTTTTATTTTTCAACTAGCTACTAAACATGTGTAAAAGTGAATCATGCAGTATTTTTACCCTGTGAGTTACTGTGTTAATGACATGAGGGGGACAGAACTCATGTGGAATTAAAAACACACAAAGGCAAATCATGAAGACATGTGAAGTATTTCAAAATGCCCACGGAGGCATGCCAGAAACGATGCTGTTTCTATAGCACGGAGTTGCCGGGGGTCAAAACTACAGCAGGAGGCGTTTCTGCGATGTCTAGCTCGTCAACGCTGCTCTTGTTGGATGGGGAATTCAGGCGAGGGAGTTCGGGCCCTCTGGAGGTTAGGCCATAATTTCTGCAGGCTCAGTGACCAGCTTGGATCCATCCCATATTGTCTTGAACTGTTCAGGAACAGGAAATTCTCTCTGGAAGAGGGCAAGAAAAACAAAGGTATTGAAATGAGGCCTCCTTTCACACTTAGTGTAAGGCGATGGGCAAAGACATCTGATGGACCCAGCGCTGCATCGGGAGAGGCCGTGGTCACAGGGAGACTGGTGTGTCACGTGTCACCATTAAATCTTGGAGGACTACGACCTGGGCATTCTTCTAGGCATTGGATATTTACAAACCCAGCCGGTCTACAGCCCTGTGATACGGGATGGGTGTTACTGAGAGGTCACCGAGAGAGAAGAGAGGCCTGAGAGATGGTGTCACGAGTAAACAGCAGCCAGAGTCTAAGCCTAGCCTCTCGTTCACCCACTGCTCGCCACTAAACTTTCGCATGAACATGGATTGCCTGGGAGTCTTTTCTTGAAAGAAATTTTTTTTGCTATAGGGTGTGTGTGCTCACTGGAGAGGCAGAGAGAGACAAAGTGAGAAATCATCTCCCAGGGGGATGGCCACGCCCCACCCCTTCTCCACTCTTCTCTTGGGGTTTTGGGTAGGCATGCACATGCGCCCAGAGTGAGTTTCAAGCTGTCAGGTCCAGGACTTGAACCACAGTGGGCCGTGTGGGAGTCCAGCAATGTAACCATTATGCCATCAGCTGGTCCCACCTTGGGGTCTTATTAAAATGCAGATTCTGATTCCCTGGGTCTGGGGAAGGGAATGAGAATCTGGATTTCCAGTCTGCTCCTAGGTGGTGCCAAAGCCGCTGAACCCAGTGTCAGGAAACAAAAAGGCTTTATGGCGATGGGCGTTACTGGCCTGCTTTTTGGTAATTACGAAAATGTGCATGGGGTCTTTTATAAACATGTTACCCTTCATCCAACGACCCTAGCCCTCCCATTAAAGAATATTTGTACTAATACACTACCCATGTACATGTCTCCCCCCACCCCCCAAAAATCTAGAACAGCCAAAATAAAAGTCATCTGTACTCTCCTTTCCCCGAAGAGTGAGTGATTCCCCAGACTCCTCAGAAGGGGTGGAGGAGGTCAGCGAGGGGCAACCCCTGGACTCACTGTTCATGGGTGCTCGGTGACACCCCTTGTGTCTGAGAAGCAGATGCCTGTGCTTGCTGGAACACACGCAAGTACTATCTTCCCAGATGTAGGTTCCAGCTGCTTATTTAGGAAGAAGCACCTTATTTATGGATATATTTTAAAGGAAAGGCTTTGTTATCGTGCAGAGTGAATTCTCGAGTGAAGTCTACAATGGAAAACCTTATCACAAAGGAGAGAAGTCACAACCTCAGGGCCAGCAGGTGGCGTGGTGATTAAGGTGCTGGACTCCTACGTGGTTGACTGTGGTTCAAGTCCCAGACCTGGTGGTTTCAAAATCACACTGGGAGCGTGTGCATGCATGTCCCAAATCCCGGGACGAGAGTGGGAGGAAAAGGGATTATGGCAAGGTTATCTCCCTGGGGGAATGATTTCTCACTTTGCCTCTCTTTGTCTGTCTCTACCAAGTGGACTTGCCCTACAGCAAAAACCAAAAGAATAAAATAAAAGTGTGCGTGTGCATAGAGCCAGTATCTCTTCTGGGGCTCCTTGATGAGTAAACACAGCATGGTGTTTGTTTATAAGTACCAGGCCAGGCAGAAAATGCTCCCGAGTGGAGGCCACACTGAGACAGTAGCTGCACTTTTGGCAGTGAGGTGGCGGTCACATGGTGATGGGTCTTCTCTGGGAGACTGGTTTCTTTCAGGAGGAATCATCCCCTCCACCCATCCCCATGAGGATGCCCAGGCAGGTCCTCTGTTCTGTTCTCTCCCACCTCCAACTTAAGATGAATAAACTGGGCCAAGGACTGAAGCACAAAATATTACCATTTACCTAGAGAGGCGAGACTGCTTTTCCAGGTTCGATCCTACTCATCCTTCAGGCCAGCGGATCTCTATTGGGCTCCATGTTGGAATCACCTGGGATGCTTTTCAAATGACAGGTACCCAGGCCCTGCATATGCCCAGTGAGTTCAGTTTTCTCAGCCCCATCCCAAGCCTCCCAAATCCAGCCTCGAGGTGCAGGGCTTAGATGTCGCCATGCTCCTTAAGGTTCTTCTAAGTCTGAGAACCTCTGATGTCTGTCTGCCTTCACAGCAGGTCACCTGTTACCCCATTCCATTTTTTCTCCAAAGCATTTTTCCCTCTTTCCTGTTTGCCTCCATCAGAGCGAGGGAAACTATTTAGTCCTGCATAATATGAACTCAGATGTGTGCTGTGCTATTTGAGAAAAGCTAGCCCATTAAGTAATTAGTATTAATAAACTGCCTTGAGAATCACAAATCTAAGAGTGGGCACAGCAGAGTAGCCAAGGAGGAAAGAGATGTAAAAAGCAGCTCTCAGAATTCCTGTTCAGCCTACAAATTATGCTACAAATAAAACTCGTAGATTGATTGTTGGCTAATTATCTCTAAGAATGTTATTAAGGTAGGCCTCAAAAAATGTTCACAGCATTTTGAAAGACACTCACATAGTCGCCATCCTGAGGGACAAGTATGTTCATTTCCGACGACTTGGCGCTCACAATCTCACAGTCTAATGCATCTTCACTGAGGTATATGTGGCAACCTTCAGTCTTATTGATGGACATTGTTGGCACTCTCCCCATGACCTGAAATAGAAGAAAAATATGGACGATCCATCCCATATTGTCTTGAACTGTTCAGGAACAGGAAATTCTCTCTGGAAGAGGGCAAGAAAAACAAAGGGCCACCCCTTCTCCACTCTTCTCTTGGGGTTTTGGGTAGGCATGCACATGCGCCCAGAGTGAGTTTCAAGCTGTCAGGTCCAGGACTTGAACCACAGTGGGCCGTGTGGGAGTCCAGCAATGTAACCATTATGCCATCAGCTGGTCCCACCTTGGGGTCTTATTAAAATGCAGATTCTGATTCCCTGGGTCTGGGGAAGGGAATGAGAATCTGGATTTCCAGTCTGCTCCTAGGTGGTGCCAAAGCCGCTGAACCCAGTGTCAGGAAACAAAAAGGCTTTATGGCGATGGGCGTTACTGGCCTGCTTTTTGGTAATTACGAAAATGTGCATGGGGTCTTTTATAAACATGTTACCCTTCATCCAACGACCCTAGCCCTCCCATTAAAGAATATTTGTACTAATACACTACCCATGTACATGTCTCCCCCCACCCCCCAAAAATCTAGAACAGCCAAAATAAAAGTCATCTGTACTCTCCTTTCCCCGAAGAGTGAGTGATTCCCCAGACTCCTCAGAAGGGGTGGAGGAGGTCAGCGAGGGGCAACCCCTGGACTCACTGTTCATGGGTGCTCGGTGACACCCCTTGTGTCTGAGAAGCAGATGCCTGTGCTTGCTGGAACACACGCAAGTACTATCTTCCCAGATGTAGGTTCCAGCTGCTTATTTAGGAAGAAGCACCTTATTTATGGATATATTTTAAAGGAAAGGCTTTGTTATCGTGCAGAGTGAATTCTCGAGTGAAGTCTACAATGGAAAACCTTATCACAAAGGAGAGAAGTCACAACCTCAGGGCCAGCAGGTGGCGTGGTGATTAAGGTGCTGGACTCCTACGTGGTTGACTGTGGTTCAAGTCCCAGACCTGGTGGTTTCAAAATCACACTGGGAGCGTGTGCATGCATGTCCCAAATCCCGGGACGAGAGTGGGAGGAAAAGGGATTATGGCAAGGTTATCTCCCTGGGGGAATGATTTCTCACTTTGCCTCTCTTTGTCTGTCTCTACCAAGTGGACTTGCCCTACAGCAAAAACCAAAAGAATAAAATAAAAGTGTGCGTGTGCATAGAGCCAGTATCTCTTCTGGGGCTCCTTGATGAGTAAACACAGCATGGTGTTTGTTTATAAGTACCAGGCCAGGCAGAAAATGCTCCCGAGTGGAGGCCACACTGAGACAGTAGCTGCACTTTTGGCAGTGAGGTGGCGGTCACATGGTGATGGGTCTTCTCTGGGAGACTGGTTTCTTTCAGGAGGAATCATCCCCTCCACCCATCCCCATGAGGATGCCCAGGCAGGTCCTCTGTTCTGTTCTCTCCCACCTCCAACTTAAGATGAATAAACTGGGCCAAGGACTGAAGCACAAAATATTACCATTTACCTAGAGAGGCGAGACTGCTTTTCCAGGTTCGATCCTACTCATCCTTCAGGCCAGCGGATCTCTATTGGGCTCCATGTTGGAATCACCTGGGATGCTTTTCAAATGACAGGTACCCAGGCCCTGCATATGCCCAGTGAGTTCAGTTTTCTCAGCCCCATCCCAAGCCTCCCAAATCCAGCCTCGAGGTGCAGGGCTTAGATGTCGCCATGCTCCTTAAGGTTCTTCTAAGTCTGAGAACCTCTGATGTCTGTCTGCCTTCACAGCAGGTCACCTGTTACCCCATTCCATTTTTTCTCCAAAGCATTTTTCCCTCTTTCCTGTTTGCCTCCATCAGAGCGAGGGAAACTATTTAGTCCTGCATAATATGAACTCAGATGTGTGCTGTGCTATTTGAGAAAAGCTAGCCCATTAAGTAATTAGTATTAATAAACTGCCTTGAGAATCACAAATCTAAGAGTGGGCACAGCAGAGTAGCCAAGGAGGAAAGAGATGTAAAAAGCAGCTCTCAGAATTCCTGTTCAGCCTACAAATTATGCTACAAATAAAACTCGTAGATTGATTGTTGGCTAATTATCTCTAAGAATGTTATTAAGGTAGGCCTCAAAAAATGTTCACAGCATTTTGAAAGACACTCACATAGTCGCCATCCTGAGGGACAAGTATGTTCATTTCCGACGACTTGGCGCTCACAATCTCACAGTCTAATGCATCTTCACTGAGGTATATGTGGCAACCTTCAGTCTTATTGATGGACATTGTTGGCACTCTCCCCATGACCTGAAATAGAAGAAAAATATGGACCAAAGCAAAGAAACAGAAATCCCAATGTCCCCAAATAAATACAGCCTACATTCCCCTCGGCATTAGCTTGGGCTTGACCAAGCTTTGGAATCACTATCTCAGGCCAGCCAGTGGCATGGAGATTAAGGCAGCTGGATCCCATCTGGCTGACTGCACGGTTTGAGTCCTGGACTCTGTGATTTGGAAACACACCAGGCATGCCCAAAATCCTGAGAGGAGAATGGAGGAGAAGGGACTGCAGCATAGCCATCTTCCTCTGAGGGGTTCTTTTCCACTTTCCTTCTCTCTCTGTCTCTGGTGAGTGCAAGACTGAAAAAGGAATTGCTGTCGCAGAGCTGGGGCGTCGGATAAACGACATCGTCTCTAGGTTGAACAGCGTAGGTGTCATGTAAGGACAGGTGTAAAGACCACACAAGGGTACTCTCAGACACCAGGTCTTTTCTGAGACAAAACTAAGAGAGATTAATTTAGAAACCATGGCTACCCATTCAGAAGCCTCACAACCCGGCTAGTGGACTTGAAACAAATATTTGATTTCATGATAAAAGAAACAAGACGCGTTGGCTTTTATTTGCTAAAATTTTTAGAATTTTGACGCATCTCTCAAACTTGGATAAAGTACTGATATTTCCACTTACCAGCAAATCTATCCTTGAGTAAAAACTGAGACTTTAAGAATAAAGAAGAAATCCTATCACTCTTTTTCACAGAAGTCCTTTGCTGGATAAAAATCACTGGCTCCATGTGAAGCCTAAACGAGATGCATGTCTCGTATTCTGAAATGTACTCATTCCAGGAGCCCAAAGTGCAGGTTCGAGACACTCATTGCATATGCCACCAGGCCCGTACACAGGAGGAGGTCATTCTTTGTATTGTTTGCAAATACCTACAGCTATAAACATTCTGATCCGTTTTGAATGTCTCCTCTAACAATCCATTTCCAGACGTCGCCCGCCCGCAAGTCTCCACAGTGCAGACTGTTCTCCCAAGGTCCATGTGGCCCCTCTGTAATTCTCCTCCTCGGTATGGCAATTAAAGTAATAAAGACATCTCCATTTTCTCCCTGAAGAAGGGGTTGGATTGCAAACCAAAGGAGCAACTCCTGTTGATGGTGGGGGTGGTGTAGAGAATTCCTTGGGGGAAGTCTAGCCAGGTCACCCTAGTCTCCCGTTTTCTTCTCTCTCCACAGAAACGGGACACAGAGTTGGAACTGAGCCCCCGAGCCAGAAAGAAGGGAGCGGAGGTGGTTTACGGTCAGGTAAGGCCAGGGCTCTGGCACCCAGAAAGCTGGAATCAAACGTCTGTCTGTATCTCTGCAACGTGTCAGCAGCACTGTCCTGAGATCTGCCTATTTCATAGGGACGGGCTGGTAGAGGAAAGTGGTGACTTGGCTGTGAGTCTCGGGCGGTTCAGTTATGAGAGGAAGTGGGGACATACGTGGCCAGCACCCTGTGCTGATGTGCTTTACTATGCTTGTGTGTCGCCGCAGCATGTGAAATGCTGAAACGAGTGAGGTGCAAGGGGAGGAAACATTTGACAGATGGAAAAATATCAAGATTTCTGTTAAAAAAAGATATGCAAAAAAGGGTAAATAAATAAAATAAAGTTTCCATTTAAAAAAATCCTATGTATCTCAAAAGGCAGCGATGGAACTTGAAAAGAAAATCATGGTAGAATGTGTGTGCATACATGAGAGAGAGGGAGGGGGGTCTGGTTATACCGCAGTCCCCTTCCTCCAGTGCTCAGGGTGTTTTGGACTGATCAGCCCAGGGATTCAAGTTGTTGTCCCCATGTGGGATCCAGCTTCTCTCTCTCTCTCTTTTTTTTTTTTTCTGAGAGCTTTTTGCTATAGGGCGTGTACACTCACTGGAGAGACAGAGAGACAGAAAGTGCAAAATCACCCCTCAGGGGTATGGCCACACTGCAATCCCTTGTCCTCCATTCTCTTCTTGGGATTTTGGGCACATACCCACATGTGCCCGGCATGAGTTTCAAGTTGCTGGGTCTGGGACTCGAACTGTAGCCAAACATGTAGGAGTCCAGTTAGCACCTTAACCACCATGCCACTTGCTGACTTCAGGATCCAGCTTCTCTCTCTTTTTTTGGTAAAGAATTATTTATTTAATTTTATTTATCATTATTAATCATTTTAGAGAGAGATTTTTGCTATATGGTGCATGCGCTCACTGGAGAGACAGAGACAGAAAGCAAGAAATCACCCCCTGCGGGGATTGCCAAGCCACAAGTCCTTCTCCTCTTGGGATTTTGGGCATGCATGCACACATGCCTGGCATGAATTTCAGGCCACTGGGTCCGGGACTCAAACCATAGTCAACTACATGGGAATCCAGCTATGTAACCATTGTGCCACCTGCTGGCTCCTCACTGTTTGTTTGTTTGTTTGTTTGTTTTTTAATTTGCTACAAGGCATATGTGTTCACCAGAGAGAAAGAGAGAGGGAAAGTGAGAAAGCAAGCCATGAGGTACAGGACTCGAACTGAGGTTGCCGTTTGGGAGTTCGGTTTCTTAACCACCACACCACCTGTTGGCCTCCCTCCAGATGAATTTTAAGATCACTCGTCAGTAAAAACTCTGTTGAGATCTTGAGCTGAATTTCACTGACTTGTCGATTCAGTAGATGGGGAAGACTGATATTGAAGTCATAGCTATTTCCATTCAACAAACATGCAAAATTAACTTCTTCAATAGTGAGATGTAAAATATTTTATCGAGGATCAGTCAGTGGCATGGTGGTTAAGGTGGCTGGATCCCATGCGGCTGACTTGAGTCCTTGACCCAGCAGCTTGAAAAACACTCTGGGCGTGTGGTCAAAATCCCAAAAGGAGGGAGAAATTGAGAAGGGTTTGTGGTGTGACCATTCCCCACGAGATGCTTTTTCACTTTCTCTCCGGCAAGTACACGTGCCCTTTGGCAAATTAAAAAAAAAAAGTACAATCAAATGCACTCTAATTAAAAGTGTCAGTGTTGAAAAGCCAAGGAAAGGCAAAGGGAAATATCTATAAAGCCAGCGTCCCTTCTCTCTCTCTCTTTCTCTCCCTTTCTTGGTGATGGAGTGCGTGTGCTCTCCTGAGAGAAAGCACCCGCAACGGGATGTGATCACGCTGCGATCCCTTTTCCTTCATCCCTCCATCCAGTCAGGATGTGGGCATACATGCGCACGTGCTCTGTATATTGCTCAAGCTTCTGGGGCCAGGACTCAAACCAGTGGGCCATGGGGTCTGGCTCCCTTAACCACTGACCTACAGGGCTTCTCCCCTTCAGGTTGTTTCATTGATCAGCTTGCTGACTCTTTAGAACAACATCCAGAGTCAAACTTGCTCCCCGAAAGAAGACTCTTGGGTAGCTGTGCTGTCTGCTAAGAGGATCTCTTCGGGTTTACTCATGCATTAGTTGATTCATTCTAATCATGCCGTCATCAGGCACGAAGTGGGTGTTGCTGGGGTTCGAATGTATACTCTAAAATTCGTGTGTTGGAGTTTGGGTATGTTGTGAAGGTAGTAAGGAAAATTTGAATCAGCTACAGGATTAAGAAGTGGAGTCTTTGGCAGGTGAGTGGGTGGGGTCCTCATGACTGAACCCCGGTGAGTTTATAAGGAGAGAGAATGGGATGGGGATGCATGGACGCAGACCCACTTCTGCTCGGGCTCGGGCCTGCTGGCGTGTGAGGCCCTCTGCTGTGTGAGGCCTTCTGCTGTGTGAGGCCCTCTGCTGTGTGAGGCCCTCTGCTGTGTTACCCACCAGCAGGACCGTCACCAGAGGGGGCCCCACAACCTTGGACCTCCAAGCCAATAGCTAACAACCCCTCTAGTCATATAAATGACCCAGGCCTGGTATATTCTCTCATCAGTAACAGAATGGGTTACAGGCACTTCCTAGCTCATGTACCGTACAAGTTTTAGGGGCTATAAAGACTACATAGCTTGTGGGACCAGCTGATGGTGTAATGGTTATATTGCTGGACTCCCACTTGGCCAACCGCAGTCTGAATCCCAGACCCGGAGGCTTGAAACTCACACCAGGCATGTGTGCATGTATGCCCAAGATCCTGAGAGGAGAATGCAGAAGGGATTGTGGCATGGCCATACCCCCTGGGGAGTGATTTCTCACTTTCTGTCTC